AGGCACATAGAAGGTGGTATAGAAATGCTAGTTGTAATTATTAATGGGGAAGACAGCCCACAAAAGGGGGCTAGAGGGGGTCAAGGTAAAAAGTGAATTAGACTCCTATCAAAATAAATAAAGGACAAGGCCATAAGAAGCGTCACTTGCATAAGTGATGCACTGCAGTTGGAGCTCCAAAGAGGAAGAGATCACTTCCCAGGTGATTAAGTAAAGCTGCATGGAGGAGGCTTTTGAGCTGAGCTTTGAAAGTCAGAGGCAGAAATGATGGGGAGGACATTACAGGGGGAAGGAACAGACTGACCAGTGGATTGAGGATAAAAAAGCACAAGTCAAGTTCAGTGAGCAGTAAATAGTCTGATTTGGCTGGAATACAGAGTACACGTAGGCAGTCAGCAAAGTAGCCAGATCATCAAATGCTAAGATGAGGAATTTGTACTGTAGTCAGTGGGAAGTAGGAAGGCACCAAAGGATTTTGACCAGGATGGTGATGATCAAAGCAGCATTTTGGGAGGATTGGTCTGAGTGTCCTCTGTAAGATAGGTAGAGGAGAGGAAAGCCTGGAGGGAAGACCAGATGGAACACAGTAACAGTACAGGCCAGAAGGGATGAAAGAGGGCCTGACTCAGGATGTTGGCAGTGAGAATGGAAGAGCACTGGATGAACTGGCTTCCAATGTCAGATTGGCCACTTAAAAGCCTGGGAGACTTACAATGGACAGGACTTGGCGACTGATTGGAGGTGAGGGAGAAGGGGGAAAAAAAAGAGGTACATATCATTATGAAATAGGAAAGTCATGAGGAAGGGCCGGTTCTAGGAGCAGCATAACTTTATTTTGGACCTAATAAGTTTGCAGCAGTCATCCAAGTGGAGACATCCAGGGGCAATTGAAGATATGAGACTGGAGCTCAAAGGAATAGTAAATGCTGGAGATAAGAGATTGCGGAGTCATCTTCATGGCTATGGGAGTAGACAGTCTCACCAAAAGAGGAGGCTTAGAGAGAAGAGTAGAGGGCTAAGTATAGCATCATGGATCTTACCCAATGAGTGACGGACTCCATTCCAAATCTTAACCCTAAATGATTTTCCATCATCCACTTTCTCTCTCTCTCTCTCTCTCTGTCTCTCTCTCTCTCTCTCTCTCTCTCTCTCCCCCCCTCTCTCCCTCCCTTATAGAACCTCCAAGTTGGGCTTTCTTCTCCAGCAGGTGGGAGTAGCTACCCTCCTTCCACATAACAAAACATCAGACCTCTTTACCCTCTCTCCCCCACTTTCCCCAGGGCTACACTCAGGACACAAACACCTATTTTCTGTGCCGGACCCTTCGCTCCATGGGTGTCCGGGTGTCCCGGATCTCTGTGGTACCAGATGAAGTGATGGCCATTGCAGAGGAAGTGGCGTCCTTCTCCACCCGCTTCACCCATGTCCTCACCTCTGGTGGCATTGGACCCACTCATGACGATATCACCTTTGAGGCTGTAGCGCAGGCTTTTGGAGACAAACTCCAGCCCCACCCTGAGTTGGAAGAAGCTGTGAAAGCCCTGGGGGGCACTGGGCAAGAGAAGCTGGTTCAGGTGCCCTCGACTGCCCGTCTCCACTATGGTACTGACCCTGAGACTGGGGTACCCTTCCGATTCCCCTTGGTTTCTGTCCGCAATGTCTACCTTTTCCCGGGCATTCCAGAACTGCAGCAGCGGGTGCTTGGGGGGCTGTCGGATCTATTCCGGAATGAAGGGATGCAATTCCACCTTCGTGAGTTATACCTGACAGTGGAGGAATCGTCAGTTGCCTCCATCCTTACAGAAGCACAGGCTCACTTTGGACGCCGACTTGGCATTGGCTCCTATCCAGACTGGAGTAGCAACTACTACCGGGTTAAGCTGACACTGGACTCAGACGAGGAGGCAGCAGTGGAGGAAGCAAAGGCTTACCTGGCTGCTCACCTACCCCCTGGAGCCCTGGTGCCATTTGTGCCCAATGCAGTGGAGCAGGCTGGGGAGGCTGTGTACAAGCTAGCCCAGTCAGGTAGGAAGAAGGCTGCTGGAGGAAGGGAAGTGGGCATTGCCTTCCTTTGGCCATCTCCTGTCTCTGGCTGCAGTTTTTTTTTATTTGTCCTAGGAATGGGGACAGTGTCCAGTAGATCTTGTGATAAGAAATACGGTTGCTATCTCTAGTTTTCCCTTCCATCCAAACAGTGCTAGTGGGCAGGTGGTGCGACCTCCACTCTGCTTTTGGACACTGCCTCTGGTTTCTCAGAAGGCAGCTGCTTGTCAGGGAAAACTATAGAGGAAATGCATGCTTTCCAAGAGAAGGGCTAGACTAGAGATGACCTTTTTAGTTTTCTTTCAGCTCTCAGATTCTGTATATTATACAGTACCCAGAGGATTGACTTGGTCCTAGCTCCTGGGATGGGACCAAATTGAAGGGGTGTTAAACTGTAGAGACGCTGGGAAAGTCCTGAGCAATCATCTCACAGTCCCCTCTGATTGTTCGTACGTGTATCTCCCCCATGCTCCCAATATCCCTGGCAGGGACTCCTCTGGGGAAGAAGGTAGCAGGGGCCTTGAAGATAATCGAGGAGGCCCTGTCGAGGTACAGCCTGACCCAGCTCTGTGTGGGCTTCAACGGGGGAAAGGACTGCACTGCCCTCCTGCACCTCTTCCACGCTGCTGTACAGAGGTACCGCGAGCCCTGGGACGGGCAATAGCTGACAGGCCCTCCCAGAGATGCATGCTTCCCCAGACAGCTGCTTGCCATCAGTGGCCCCCCATCCCTCCTTCCTGGATCCATTCACCCTGTTTCTTCATCTTGGGTGTGTGTCAGTGTTGAGGAGGAAGGCTGTTCATATCAGTTCAATAAGAATTTGTATGTAGGGTGTCTTCCATGTCTGTGCAAGGCCCTGTGCAAGACACTAGGGAAGATACCTAAGGTTCATTAGACACAGGCCCTCCCCTCATGGAGCTTATAGTCTTGTTGGCGTGACACCATTGGAATACATGACAGCCAAAGAACAGTAAAACACATTCACGAATCAAGTGTTGGAAAATGTTCTATGGAAGATAAATGTTTAACAAGTTGGGGAAAATCAGGCTAGGGCTGGCTTCCTGGAGGAAGAAAATCTTAAGCTGGGCCTTGAGAAATGGGTGTGCAGGGTTTGGATATAAGAAGACAAAGGAGGGTATTCCAGAATGGGGTGGGGGAGAGGACAGTGCACACCGTTTTAGGGGGCTCTCTCTACACAAATGGAGGAACCTGTGGGCCCTGACCCCTCTCACCACCTACCCAAAGGAAATTCCCAGAGCCCAGGGTCCCGCTGAAGATTCTCTACATCCGTAGCATCTCTCCCTTCCCAGAGCTGGAGCAGTTTCTGAAGGAGACAGCCAAGAGGTACTGGGGATCAGGAATTTCGGGCTGGGAGAGCTGAGGGTTATGGGAGTTAGGAGTGGGGAATTGCTTGATTATAGGTTCAAAAGGTGGTTTATGGGCCTCTCCAGGTATAAGCTGCAAGTCTTACAGGCTGAGGGCGACATGAAGCAGGCATTGAGTGAACTTAGGGCACAGAACCCCCAGCTGGAGGCTGTGTTGATGGGCACAAGGAGAACGGATCCTTCATCCCGAAGCCTCAGTCCCCTCAGTCCCACTGACCCAGATTGGCCCCAGTATATGCGCATCAACCCACTACTGGTGAGAGAGAAAACATTCCCAACTACCCCTCAGACTCCCATCTTTTTGTCATATAGAATGAGACAGTGGCATTTTGGGAAAACTCAGGAAGGATCAGATAGAAACTAGGACCAGTATTCTATCCTTTTTTAAAAAACTAGGGGGAGGGAGCTGAGGATGAGGTACTAGATTTCACCTGTAAAGTATAAGAGAGGATCAGAAGGAAGAGTAGCCCCTCCTTCTGGGGATCAAGATTGGGAATATGGGTGAGTAGAAATGCTTGGATCTGCCCATTCTCCCAGAAGCAGAAAGGGAGGCAGGACGGTGTAGGTGATCCAAACATAGTGCTACCTGTTCAGTGAACTGACTGTTGTTCCCCAGGACTGGACATACAGAGACATCTGGGATTTCCTTCGTCAGCTATTTGTTCCTTACTGCATCCTGTATGACTGGGGGTAAGCGCTAGCAGGAGTGGGGCAGGAGTCAGGAATGATAAGGGAGTGCTAAAATGGGGAGTCGGATATTTACAAGGACTGTGTCTTTCCTCCCGGCATCTCCAGCTACACTTCCCTTGGCAGTCGAGAGAATACAAAGAAGAATGTGGCCTTGAAGTACCCAGGCCCTGGGGGATGCCCTGCCTATCGACCAGCCTACCAGCTGGAGAAAGAAGATGAAGAACGAAGCTCACGAACCTGACTCTGTGAACTTGCTGTCAGACTGGGGGATTTTGTTCCTGCCTGTTGTATCCCCTGATCCCAGCGGCCCCACCGTCAGTGCTGACCAATAAATGGTGTATTCTACTGTGCCCATTGCTTCTGCTACTTCATCCTTTCTAGGAGTCAAAGCTGCCATGGATGTGACTGGGACCCCCTTAGCCCCACCCTCAAAGACCCAGGAGTTGGGGCAGAAACCTAGAAGTGGAGGGTCGGGCTGCCTCCTCTTTGCCTAGACATCCTTGACATTGAGCAGGGGCAGGGGAGTTAGGAGGATGAGGGCTGGGGGTGTGAAAAAAGAAGGGCTGGATAGCTCGAGCTGACTGATGCTTCTCGATGCCAACATCAGCAGGGCTCCATGTGAGGATGTATGACCTGGGGAGGAGGGAGGAGGGAGCTGGGCCAATGGGTAGCTTGGCAGAATTCCCAGGGCTCTTACACTGTGAGGGGAGGGACAAGGGGTCAGATACTCCCCTCCCAACTCCCACCCAGTCCAGGCTGACACAGCCTATTATTCCTCATTCCAGAATCTCCCCTTGCCTCATCCAGGGGCTTTGTCTCTGTTAGTCATGAGAGCACACGGTCCCCAGGGTAGGAGAATGTTTATAAAGCCCAAGCGAGCCAGCCACCTTTCTCGCACAGAGAGCTATTCCCATGCAACCAACGGCTGTACCCGTAGCCCAGGCCTTGCCCTTCTCCCTCAGTCAGGCTCTTCATGATGCAGGGTTCCGATTACCTGTCGCCAAGATGGGCACAAGCTGGGGGGTACTGCATCGATTCCTAAAGGAGGCGGCTTATATCCTTCTCTGCTGTTGGTGTATTAAGGAGCTGCTAGACTAGCCCAGGTATTTAGGATGCTCCCTGCCCACCCCCATCCATGACACCATACTGGGCACTCTCAGGTGGGCACACTGGGGGCAAGACTTGAGCTTTCTTGGCAATGTTCCTTCTTCTGAGCCTCCCCTTTTGTCCTTCTAGTGCCTCCTTCATCTCCGAGACTCCTTGTGTCCTCTGTGCTTACCTGAGAGTACCAATAAATGAGTGAAGTTCAATGCCTACTGTGAGCTGTGTGGGCTTTCAGCCTCTTTCAACTCTAGGGCCATTTGATTCGATTTCTAGCCTCTCAGGACAATCAGAGCCAATTCCCTGCACAAGCAGGATCTGTGTGAGACGGTATAAGGGGAGGGCAAGGTAGGAGTTTATAAGAACAAGGAGGTAGGAAATACACTGTCTTGTGCCAGGTTGGGGGGTTTTTGGTTTTTATTTGTTTGTTTGTTTTTTTTGGTGGGTTTTTTCTGTTGAGAAAGCATGACCCTTATGGGGGTGGGGGGCACCAATGGCATAGCATTGTGGGCCCCTCCCTGTCTAGCATTGCTAATGTACTCAAAAGTTTCTCTATCTCAGATATAGCACATACCACCCTTCCATGCAAAAATGCCAGGGATAGGACAGCTCTCCCTCAGAACCCTGGATTCCATTGTCCTCTCTGTCAAAATATAGAAAAAGGGATAGAACCCCAGTTGCAGTCCTTGGTGTGGCCTAGGAAAGGAGACCAGGATGGTGGAGAAGAGAAAAGCGGCTTCCACAATCCAATCTACCCCTTCTGTGCCCTTCACAAGGGCCTGGCCCCCATTTTGCCCTAACCTACCCTGTGACTCAGGCCCTGGCCTCCTGCCTCTACCAGGCCTTTTCCTGTCTCCCGCCCCATGACCAACCCCACTCCACCCAGCTGGAGTTGGGACATTGCCCAAAGGACAAGGGGGAGGGGGTAGAGTCTGAGTACAGGGGGCTGAGAAAGGAACCTATGCCAGAGGAATGGAGAAGGCAATGGGATGCTTGGCAAAGGGGACTCTGGGGAAGTGGTGGGTGGAGATGGGCAGAGCTGTGGTCTGTAAGAGAGAAGAAAGTCAGAAAAAGAAGCAGTGACAGAGGGAGAAAGACAAATTCAATGTGCAATTTGAGCTAGGGAAGCGGGATAGACACTTGGGAGGGTGAGACCTGGCAGCTGGAGGGAAATACGTTAAGAATTAGCAGCGTCTTTCTTTTCCCCCACTTCCATTCCCTTGTCTCATTGTACTCACACCAAATATATTCTCTTTTCTTTTTTCTTGATGAGCCTGATGTGGAGAACAATAAAACCTTCTACCTGCCTCCCCAGCTTAGTAGGGAAGTGAGTTGGTTTTCTCTTCACTACTCCGCTTTCTGCCACCTCCAGGTTCCCACGAGTACAGGTGGAAAGTGGAGAGAAAGGCAACCCTGCACCCCTTCTTTTACCCTCCAATATTCTGGCTGGTATAAGGCAGTGGGGGTCAAACTCAAATAGAAACACAGGCTGCTAATCCTTACCTAAAGATACCTATGGGCCCCATATTGACTTAGTTTACAATGTACTGTTATCTATGTTTTATTGTATTTTTATTTATTTTGTTAAATATTTCCCAATTTTAATCTGGTTCTGCCGCACTGGGGAGTGTTTTACATAAGCACTGTCCATCTACTCTCTACAAACGGGGCTTCCCTTTTTTGTTCATAAGGTTCCAGTCTGAGCCGTTCCAGGTAGGGTCCTCAGGGTAGAGAAAGGCTGTTCAGGTGGCAGAGTTGGGACAGATGAAGGCTAACGTTAGACAAGGTTTCAGCCCACCTAGGAAACACTATGAGAGATTCTTTAACATAACTTTTTCAGCAACACATAGAGAGTGCCAGAAAATTCTGCTCTCCGTGACCGCTAGCTATTTTATGAAGCCAGGTTTCGTTTATCACAATGAAGGCTCAAAGCCTTGAGTGAGCAATATTAATGCACTGCCCACCAACTGTAGTAGGGTAGTTATTTGGGTGTTTCTCCCACCCAGTGCCCTAGCGGGCAGTGCCAAATTTCATGCTCTGTATGACTGAAGGGGAAGGGGAAGGAGACATTGGGGTGCGCTTTGAGCAGGGGTCCTGGGGACGCGAAGGGGCTTCCCCGGGAGACAGAGGGGGCTTTCCGAGTCGGCGTTTGGAGCAGCGCGGACATCTAGTGGCTTCCAGGGGAACTGAAGCAACCCCGGAAATTGGAAGCTAGACGCGGAGAGAGAGGGGACCATGGGGCGAGAACCCAGACCCGAAAGGGATCCCTAGGAATCCCCTGGGAAGAGGAAAAATGGAGCGCAAGCCGGGGCTTCACAGTCACTCCACTAGGGGCCCCATGGTGGAGTCTTGGACCCCTGGATTGGGAGGAGGAAAGGTATTATTTTACCGCGTGAATAAATTGGATATCACAGTTTAAAAAAAGAACGGAAAAACAAAAACCAGACCCTTGATATCCAGCATCTTCCTGATTGCGAGGTCGGGAAGGGGTCACTGGTGGCTATAGAGCAGTTGGACTCAGCACCAGCTTTTTTTTGAGGGGGGGAGGTATATATTTGCATCTTAGCTGCATCTGAGTCATTTCCTTTTTGTATGAAAAAATTCCCCCTCTCTTCCCTCACAGGGTCCTTCTTCTCTGTGGTTGTCCCCCACCCCTGGTCCCACTGCCCTTCTCGAATTCTCCCAGATTCCTTCCCTCTTCCCTCCCTGACCAACCCCTCAAACCCTGTCTTTTGCCCCAAGGCTCTCGCCCTCAACGCACAGTTCCTATCTACAACTCTATGAATACAGGTCGCCAGCGGTAAACTACCCCAATGCAACTGATTTCTCCTCCCTCCCGACCAGCGCCCCCTGCAGACCAGCGGAGGGGGGAAGGAGTGAGGGGTGGGGCGGGATTTATTTTCACCACCCGCCTCCCCCACCCCCCTATAGTTTTGGAAACTTGCTCCCCAGAGCTTCCTGGGGCTAAATTTAAATTTACCTGCCTAGGCCCTGGGGGGCGCAAAGATCCCAGCGGAGATTAGAGCGCTGGAGTAGACTGCTGCGCACCCAAGGCTCGGAATAGGCACCGGAGTTATAAATAGAGCCGCCCGCAGATGCTAGTGGGGGGGAGACTGGGGAAAGGGGAGGGTGCCCCCCTTGGCAGCCGCGGCCCCTTCAGGTGGGTTGGGCGGTCGCAGTGGGAGCGCTGGGGTGGCGGCGGCTGGGGGGGCTGCGGTCTGGGCGCCCCCAGCGGTTTCCTGGGCGGCTGGTACTTCGAGGGAAGCGGTGGAAGCAGTGGGGGGCCACAAGTTAAGAGGTGGGCGCAGCAGGTATACTCACTTGGGGTCCCAGCTTCCCTGCTAGGGGACGGCTGGTCCCCCAATCCCAAAACGCAGGACCTCCTGCCTGTAGACCTGGAGAACTCCTTTTCTCCACACCCCAAAACATATTTCCCTAGTTCTCAGAGCGTTTTTACATCCAACCATATGTGCCTTCCGGGCTGCCCCTTCTCCTGATCTTTACTTCTATCCCAGAGGATGGGATACCAACTCCCACTGCCAACTCCATTCTCAAGGCAAATATCCTTATTTTTCGGTTTACTTACCCCATGCCTCACTCTGCCCTCTCCTCCAGGAGGTTACCTGTCTGGATGGATATTTTACATCTTGTTGGTCTAGAAAGCGGGATGGGAGAGGGGAGAATCAAGCTCAGGCCTGGGGAGTCTGGAGCTGCCTTCTCCCCAGCTTCCCTCAGGAGGCACCTGCAGGCCTCTCAGCACCCATCGCCCAATCTCAGCCCAGCCCAGGACAGACTGGCAGGCCAAGGTGGCAAGAGGCGTTAGGGGGCCGGGTTTTGAGAGAGGGGGGTTGGGGGACTACAAGAAGTGTACGTTTTTCTGCTTCAGATGTTCTCTACGGTTTGGTTTAGGCAAGAAGTTGGGGCGATTTAGTCTGGAGCCCCTGCCCCACCTTCCACCATCGGAGCCGGGATCCCAGGGGAGCCGTAGGATGGAGACTGTAGAGACTGAAAGGAGAAAACCTGAAAGGTCGAAGGAGGTTGGATGGACTGGGGGTGGGGAGGGGCTGCGGAGAATAGAAAGATGAAGATAGGGACTAAGCGAAAGGAGAAAACAGGAATGATTCAGATTCCTAGGGAAATGAAGAATCAAAATTCCTCTCTTTTGCTAAGCGTCCAAGATGCTACCACCCCCATACCCCAGCGGGGGTTGGGGGCGGGAATAGGTAGCTGGTGATGGAGACTGGACTCTCACAGCCTGGCGCCGGGCTTCCTACACCAACCTAGGAGGTCACGGCAACCTTTCCAGTACTTTAGTAGTGTGTCCTTGGGCAAGTCAAGTAACGTGAGACTATTTCCTCATCTGTAAAATGGGGATACTAATATACGTAATGCCTACCTCACAGGGTTGTTGTGAGGCTCAAATGAAATAATGTTTGTAAGACGCTTTGCAAATTTCAAAGTGCTATATAAATATCAGCTATTATTACTTCTATCGTTATTTCTTGTGCCTATTTGTCCTTGGCCCTCCCTCTGTTTCCTCCTCTCCCTTATGCGTGCCCTCTCTCTACTGACTGTTTAACTCTGCCCCTGGCATAGCCCCTTCTTGATTTCGAATGTGCCCCTGGCACTGCCCCCTCTCGCCTGGCACCGGCCCTTCCCCAGGCCAGCCTGTCCCAGGAGGTAAGGAAGAAAGGAATAAACCCCGGCCTGGACCCAACTCCTTCCAAGCCCTTACAAACCGGACTCTGTCCACCGAGGCCAGGAAGAAAACCCGGAGAAACTCTCTGACCATCTACAGAGGGACCCGGGGTGGGGGTGGGGGGCACGGGAGACGGAGAACGGATGGGAACGGACGGAAAACCCGGAGCGGATCTCCCGAATCAGTGTTCCCCCTTCACACCCCCCCTTAAATGCCCCAGAACCTCACCCCCCCCAATTCTCCAGTGAGATAATGTCTGGGGGTGGGGGGCTGTTTGCCTTGGCCTGGGCCCTCTGGGGCGCCTCACACTTTCCGCCCCTGGCTGGGGCGCAGGGCAGCGGCCCCGAGGCTGAGTCACGGCCCGGCTAGGGAGGGAGTGTGGATGAGGGAGGGGCCCGGACCCGAGCTCCTCCCCTCCCCCTAGCCAGGGGATCCCGGGTCAGCCCGGGTGAGGGACTGGGCCCCCGCGACACCGCCCATTGTGGTCCAACAGGTTCAGCTAGTGTCCCGCGAAGCCACCTGCTGGGGGGGGGGGAGCCCCCGGGCCGAGGAAAGGAAGGGAAGAGAAGGAAGAGAGAGTGAATCTGACCCGGTTCGGCCTGGCCAGAATGGGAAGAGAACCTGGCCAGCTTGACTTGGGTGGGAGGGTTTCTTCAAGGAGCGGGAGGCGCCTGGCTCCTAACGGAGCGTCCCAGTCCGTTCCTGTACTTTCGGTTGGGGACAGGGTGAAGTACAAAGTGCCCTCCCTCAGGTGGCTGTCCTTCTACAAACTCACTCCCTCTACCCAGACCCCCCCCCCAAAAAAGCTTTAGTCTCTGGGTCGTGTTCCGGCCAGGATATCTCTCCACAAAAGCCTCAGTTTCCCCAATTACCGAAAGGTGAAAGGAATTCAAGGCTCTCGAGCTAGGAAAGGAGGGGCGGGGAGAAGAAACAACGTGCCATCCCCATTCCCCCGCCCCCTTCCATGCACCCAGCCCCTCCCCGTTGGCAGTGCCCAGGCCGCAGCCGGGCAAAGGGCTGGAACTCAGAGGCCGAGTCCTGCCTTCGGGCTTAGCCTAGGCGTAGGTCCCCACCCCGTGGGGTACCGTCACGCGTGTGGGAGGGACACGTAATGAAGTCTCCAAGTCCAGACCCCTTCCCTCCAGTCTAAGGGGAATGGTGGGGGGGGAGAAGTGAGGGACATGGATCTCGGGCCTTGGCCATTGGTGACTCCACCCTCCCCTTCCCTCCCTCCTTCTGCTGGGCTTCTGCTGTGACCTGATTATTTCCCCTGCTCTGGTTTACCACCCTTCTCTCGCCCTACACTGAATCCCTGATTCCACCCCCAATCAATTCCCACCCCCCCCTTCCATTAACTCCTTCACCAGCCACTTCCCTCCCTTTTGCTGTCCCACCCTTTGGGGAGCCCTTTGGGACTGGATGGAGAACTAGGGGGAATGGGGGAGGGGCTGGTGCCCAGGCCGCCGCAGACAAGGTCCCAACCCCCCCCTTCTCCCTGTACCATTCCAGTCCATAAGCCCCGCCCCTCTCCCCAAGGGCCAAGTGTGGGGCGGGACTGAAATTTCGATTGATGGGTATTTCAACCAATAGAGGAGCTGGGCGGTGGAGCTAAGAGGGCGGGGGCGGGGCACCCCCTCGGGTTGGATGGGGGTAGAGGGTGGGGTCTGGGTTAAGGTGGACTGGGGAAGATAGCTGCAGGAGGAGGGAGAGGGGAAGAGCTACCGCTGCAGGTGAAGGGGAAAAAGAGGGAGAGAAGGAAAGAAGAGAAAAGAGGAGAGAGGGACAGAAGAAGGCAAAAGAGGAGGGGAAGGGAGACAAGGAAGGGGAAAAAGAGGGAAGGATAGACGGTGCAGTGTCCTAAAGGGACAGACTGGACTAAGAGGTTGAAGTTTATGTCCTTATTGGGCGGAGGGGGGGCCTGAGGGGGGGGTGGAAAACCAGGAAGTGACAGAGGGTGTTGCTAGGGCTGGGGAGGGGGGTGGGGGGGGGGGGAGGGGGGGCGGGGGGGGGGGGGGGGGGGGGGGGCAGGAGGAGGCAGAGGGAGGCGGAGGAGGAGCCCCCCAGGAGCAAACAGCCAGCGGACTGCCCGCGGCCTTCTGACCAATATTGGAGCAGAGCCCCGAGGCTCCGGCCCCCTACGTCCCCCCGAGCCCACAGGGCCTGGAGGGGGACAACCAGTTCCCTACACCCCGCATCTCACAAACCTCTGCGGACAGACCCGACGGCAGAGAGGTGAGTACACCCCTTTTCTTTCCTTCCCAGGCTCGGGGTTCCCCTTCTCAGTTCGAAACTACTGCAGTGTCCTTCGGTCGCCCTATAGAAGGGGGACCCCCACACGGCCATACAACAGAAATAGGGATTCCCACCCCTCCGGTTCTCTCCAGAGCCCTTCGTCTTTGGAACTGGTTTGGGCTGGGAGAAAGGTTGCGAAGGAATCGCGACTCCCCCACCAGCTCTTAGCAAAGGGTTCCCGGTAACTTTCTCAGCACTTCGTAGGGGCCCAGGTGACTTTTTTTCTGAGATGAGTTGGAGTAATTCAGCGCTGAGCGCTTCCCAGGTTTCTTCTTGGGGATGTTGGGGGACCCTCCACAGGGGCAGAGTTGACGGAATGGAAACGTTGACTCTAACTAGGACATCGCGCCCCCCCCACCTTCTGCTCCGGCGCGGTGAACTGGACCCCCGCCAGAAGTCCTGGGAGGGAGGGGGTGCACAGGAGGAGCTGGGGCTGGGGGGAAAGTTACCGGCTGGACTATTCGGTTTCTAGGTCTTCTAGGACAGCTCTCTTTCTCGCTTCTTTCCCTTTCTCAGCTCGCTGTGACTCCAACCTCCCGCCTCCCCTCCTGCCCCGGTATCTCGTCCCTTCTTCTCTTCACTCTCCCTCCGCTCTTCTTGATAACGTCTCCCTCTTGGCTGCTCAGCCGTCCGCCACCTCACTACTGCGTCCGCTCCGGACCCCCAGAACCCGCGATAGAGGGTGGGGTGATTGAAGGGACTTTTCCCACTCAGCTCCCCCCCCCAATTCCCTGGCGCTGGAACACCTGCCCCCACCCATAGGTGTGTGCGCGCGCGTATGGAGGGGGTCGCCACAGTGTCTGCTAAGTGGGATCGTCCCCATGCAAGGGTAGATTTTGAAGGGGGGTTTGGGGGGGGGTGTTTCCTGGAGTCTCCGGCTCTTTTTCTCCTCCCACCCCCTACCCCACCCCGAGTCAGAGAGCGACGTGTCCCGGCCAGAGCGAGGGGGGGACTCTGGAGTCAGGGGGGGCGGCGTGGGCAGCGGGTTGTGCCCGGACACGTGCCAGCTCCGGCGCCCCTGCCCGGCTGGTGTTTGGAAAGAGGGCGGGGTCCCTTGCTCCCCCAACCCCCCCCCCCACGTATCAAAGGGCGGCTGAGACGTGGTGAGACCTCGGGGCGCCCTGGGGGGGCGGGGAGCTTAGGTCCAGAGTAGGGGAGGGGCAGAGGCGCTGGGGCTAGCTGACCCACAGGAAACGAGCGCTGCTGACCTAGTTTGGGACACCGGAAGTGGGTGCTCCGAGGAGAGGGGGAGACAGGGAGGCAGGCAGGCGGTCCTGGCTTCCGGGCCAGGTGGAGGGCTTTCCGGAATTAGCCCTGTCCCCTTATGCCTCGGACCCCTCTGCTCTGCTGCTGGGAATGGGAATGAGTCAGCGCCGCCCCTCCCCCTACCTCCTCCCTAAGGGGAGTCATAGGAATGGGGGGGAGACCCTGTAGGGAAGGGAGGGGTTAAACTAGGACAGGAACTCTTTGTTGGGGGGAGGAGTGGAGGGGAGTAAAGCCTGAAGGATTATGGGGCTGGCTCCTTCCCCCCCCAACTGGTTTGGTCACCCCTATACCTGCCTGGCACTGCCAGAGGGGGAATAGGCATGGAGGTGTAATGAGGGAAGGTGGGCACGAGTGTCAAGGTATTCCAGACCGTAGTATATTATTGAAAACATAGGGTTAGGGGCTTATTTGTGACTGAGCTTAGGTGGTGGCCTTTCTCTTGGTGGTAACTGAAGAGAGTGGAATGGGGGAAGCTCCCCCTGGAGCAGCTGATGAAACCTCGGAGAAATCTCTGCTACCGCCTCCTATTCTGGCCCCGGGGACCCCAGACTCCCCCAGCGCCACCTGTGTGTTAGATGGTTACCGTGGGCACCATGCAGCCGTTGGGCACCCCTGAGCACTGCCCCCCTCCCTTGGGCACCCCTGGGCACCGCCCTTCCCCTCTTGCTCAGAGGTTTCAGGAAGGGGTTAATGCCATATGAATGGGGGCTCTGGTAAAGGAAGAAGGCAGTGCCCACTAGATTTATATGCCAAGGAAAGAGGCCACACTGAAATCAAGCAAGTCACATCTAGGCCCTGCTGAACTGGACCCCAGTATCCAGAAGATAGGAGTTGCCCCCTCCCCCTTGCCATGGTGCCCCCTGGTACTCAAGGGCCCCCAGCTTCTCCTTGGCATGGTGCCTGCCCTGGGAGGGCGCGGCGGGCAGCGGGGGCTGGGCTAACAATGCACCATCGGGCCCTTTGTGTGCTTATACTTGGCACCCTGGGGAAGGGTGGGGGAGGGGTGCCCCCCTGGTAGGCATGGGGGGCGGGGCACCTCTGAGGTGGGGACAGTGGAGATTTGGGGAGAGCTGAAAAGAGAATAAAAGCAAGTGGGAATGAAAGGGAAGTAGGTCAGATAAGGGGGCTAGCACCCACCCCAATTCCAAACCAGGTCCATGCACCACCAGTACCTCCTGGCTTCCAGATGGTATTAGACTTGCAAACAGGGAGCAGTATGTGGTTGGGAGTTGGAGGTCAGAGGTCACTGTCACAGAGAACTGCCCAGATAGAGGGAGGAGGGCCTAGTGTTCCCCCTCCCCTCTGGTGGGCATAAGGCCCAGTTCCCCTGGCCCTCTGCCCCTGAGAGGACTAAGGAGTAGGGAGCAAGAGTCAGAGGCCCCACCCAGGTGGGTAAGTAGGTGGGCATTTTGCCAGGTTACTGGCCTCAGGACTAAGGCCTCTACTTCTGCTGGGCCCAGCCTCCCAACATGCTTCCGGGACAGTGCCCACCTGGCATACTGCCTTTCCTTAGATTCAAGACTACATAAGCTCTACTAGGCTGTAATAATGAAAGAGTGAGGGGACCTGTGCCCGACTTGTGCTGAGGCTGGGCAGAGAGGCAAGGAAGGAAGGTGGGGATGGGCAGATGGATAAGACCCTAGCATGGGTGTGTCTGCCCTGGCCTCTGCCCCCTCCTGCTGAGTAAACTTGTGAGTAAACTTGACGTTTTGCCCGGACAGTTTGAAACTGCCTTACCACCCCCCCCCCCCCCCCCTTAACCCCCCCATCCCCACCCTACCCCACCTCCTCTGAACAACACAAATGAAACCAGGAACCAAGACAGGCCTGGAATGAGATGGGAGAAACATTTGCCACCTACCCTCAGACGCGTTGGAGGGACCAGAAAGGTTCCTCTCCCCCTATCCCCCTCTATGCCAGGCAAGTTGTCTCAGTGGGAATCTTAGCTGTGTGTGGGAAACTTCTAAATGTCAGAGGAGGGATGATCTCAAAACATTCATGTTACTTTGACAGAGACCTTACAGCCAGTCCATCACCCCAGTCTCGGACCTCCAGACATGTCTGCCTTTTATGTGGGGAGACCCTTTGACGTTAAGTGGACTTCATTGGATGTTTCCCCTGGTTGTCCTGGAGAAAGCCCCTCATCACTCCCTTCCCCACTCCATGAACCAACCCTCTCTCTGTAAAATAGGTCAAAGGGGCAAAGAAGAGGTAGGCCAAGTTTGCATCCTTCTGTTGGTATGGCCTCTGGCATTGGGGCAGAGAGAATATATCCACAGCGTGCCAGCATCCTTCTCTTACTGAGGGAAGAGTTGTTCTCTCCCTCTTGACATCAAGGGC